TTTCCTTGTGAAACTTGAGGCATTTGTCATACAATATCCAATGTTTTCACAGCAAAATTCACCTAGTCCAGTTTGTTATGTTCAATATAAATGAGGTGTGGGATTTTATTCCACTGACTTGTGGTGTAGATGGTAAAAATAAACAAGCTTTTAGTACTTTTGTTGCATTGTACCTGTTTAGAACATGCTGTAACAGGGACGTTTCAGGATCAGAATGTACTATACTTTTTTTAAGATTCCACAAAGGATTTTTTTGCAGTGATGCCATAGAAGAATCAATTTGAGTTCTTAAATGATTTTCATAGTATAAAGAACATTGCAGTGGAAAGGTTCCATGGATGTTAAAGGTTCTTTATGGTTCTTCATTCATTAATTTCAATAAAAAACCTTTATTTTAAGAATATTTTTTTCTAAATTAATCTTTATGAACCCTTATAAGAGTTGACCGCAACAGTAGTCGACTTCAAAGAGCTGCATTGTTAAATGCACTACATTTATGACTTTTTGTTCGTTGCATTCAAACAAATAGCAGCTATTTTAAATCTAGAAATGGTCAGAAATAACATCTGCATTAAATTAAAGATGAATGGATGTTTTAGACAAAGTCTTTTACTCATTAAGTGGTTATGATAGGATATTTGCCAGGCTCTGACAAGATTTGGAAATGTGTTTTGATAGAACATTCCAGGTCTTTCTGAAAATTTAGTGCGTGGGCTACGTGCGCTTTATTTCATTTGAATGGTATGAGAACAGGTGGGGTTTTCTCATATAAGGCTTTATGGATGTATGTTTGAACTCTGTCAGTGACCTTAAACACGACTTTTACTTCAAAAAACGTTTCTGTATTGACCATTAGACCATTAAAATTGACGCTTTGTCTTGTAGTGTAAATAACAAGGACACACAGGACACTCTAAATAATGAGATGAATTTCAAATAATTCTGCTCTCCTACAAGTGACACACATACTCGCTTCGATCTGTTTATTCACTGGCTCAGTTTATGGTGTCATGCTCAGTTTGTTGGGTTCCATATTGTAGCAGATTTTTGTTCATGTCTGACATGAACAGAAATTGTGTGTTCCAAGTAATTTGTCAGACACCCTCTAGTATCCCAGGTTCGTCTCATGAAAAAGTGTGAGGGTAATCTGTATCCAGATGGAAGGATGAAATTAATTCTGTCGTGCCTTGATCAACTTGTTTGTTTCTTCTTGCTCATAATTCACTAAAAGGCTCTACGTTCTGCCTCAGATACTGAAGATTTTACACATGACAAAAATATTGTGCAATATTTGTTGACTTTCAATTATGTCAGTGTATTTAAAATTTTAAACAAATTAATCACATTATGCAGATTAACTAATGAGCAGTCAACCGTCGTCATCGCAAAATAAACACTGACAGGACACCCACACGCTGCTCAACAAATAAATAACTACATGAAATACTGATTTAAGTGGACATTCTTTTAGAGTTTTTACCTGTATATTAACTGTTGTTCAGCTAAGAAAAGAAATCCTATAATGTACAGTCGGTCCTTTCAAGTCCTTTCAAGAAACAAGAGAGACCAAGTAATAAGTGTGATAAAAGTAGCGTTGGTGTAGTGAGAAACAGTAACACCCTAATTTACATAACCAAGTCGAAAACATAGTTCATAGAATTGGTGACTCATTCTTATTAACATGAATCACACGACGGGCCGATTCACTAGAATGTAGGCTATCTGACTATGCAGGACTACATTTGAGAGAGAGGACTACTGTAGGGTGAACTTTCCAATGGCCTGTTGGAGAGAGAACCATTTAGAACAAATTAAAACCGATTCACTAGAATAACTCGTTATTCCGCTGCTACATTTGAAAGAGAGAACATCAGGATGAATTCACTTGAATTAACTACTTTTAATAGGCCCTGTCAAATAGTGTCAGTTTCAAAACATTGGGCTGCAGCGATTTCATTCAATTCTCAGCGCTACGTCTTGCGTTTTTAAACACAAGAACAGCTCTGTCATGGTCCTTTGAAAGTTTAAATAATGCATGACTGACAGCTTGTGTAAGTCAGTTTAAACGTAAAACAGTTAACAAGACAAAGTATTTTGGTCTTCACATATTTACAATGTTTCGCCCATTACGCTGTTACAAAACAGAAAGAGGATAGCAATTCATTATTTCTGTCACATCATAATTAATTCAATTTGCGGGCATTATTAAAGGAGTCATATGATGCAATTTCAATTTTTCCTTTCTCTTTGGAGTGTTACAAGCTCTTGGTGCATAAAGAAGATCTGTAAAGTTGCAAAGACTAAAGTCACAAATCCAAAGAGATATTCTTTATAAAAGTTAAGAGTCAACCACACACGGCTCGTTCTAACACACCCCACATGTCTATGTCCCGATGTGGGAAGATTTGCATAACGCCGCCCAAATGTTCATGCAAAGAAAGAAGGCGTAACTTTTATTCTCGCTGTAGTATTGTTGTTGCCGCCGCTATGTCATGAAGGCGCTGTGTGTTTCGTTGTGAAAGCGAAACTACTTTGTTTGGTCTTCGAAAAGAGGACGTCATGCCTAGAGCTGATCCGTGCTGACCTTAAACCACATAAACACATTTCATTACACCAAATACACCAAATAATGTTCTTTTTAGCAGCATCATATGACCCCTTTAAGGCAGCTGTATGAATATAACTCCATGTGATAAGCCCATACTGCACACATTTTACCACAGTGGATGCTTCTGTCATTATGGAGGAACTGTCTTTGTTAGGTTGTATAAATTATTTCCAGTGGTTCTTTTCAGCGCTGTGGTGGTCTATTGTTTGGCTCAGACAGGGTCTTAAACAGGGGGGAGATACTCATACATTTTGCATGCTAAGAGACTTGATAGCTGATATATTCTTTCTCTGCCTCTTTCTGTTTTCCCTCATTCTCAATCTTTATTATTTGAAACCATTTAATTGTTAATGAATTCTCATTAATACCTCTATTATCCTATTCTTTGGGGCCATTGTGCTTTGTTGATTTTAGACCCCACATAACATTAACGTAGTCGGAGAGTAAGAAAGAATTGTTTTCTGAAAGAATGGCTTAGGAAAATTATAATTCTCTCTAAATAACCATCCATCCATCATAAATTCAGTGTTATCACACTGCAGGCATGCATATAAAAGTTGTGTTTTTTAATGTTGCTTTTATCTATGAGCTGATTAGATAAGTGTGAATTAATGAATTTCCTTAAATAAAAATGAATTTCTACCTGCCATCCCTTCACTTTTGATCATACTGAATAGCAAATGATACTAATGCCACCTAATGATGAGCAATATTTGTCTGATATTGCGGTGCATATTAAATTTCCCTGATTTCACATCTCTCTGTAAGATCCAATGGGTTTGTATGTATAATCCTTTTTTTTTTTTTACCAAAATCGTGCTGGATTTCCTGCTGCGAGCTGCTTTCACAATTGCCCTGCATTTGCTGAATGATGATTTAACTGTCTACATTACTACATAATCTGCCCACATATTAACATAACACATTATAGTGTTTGAAGCTTAGGAGTTTTGAGCATATTTTAATATCCAAAGAAATGTGATTCAGTGCCTTTGTGTAATAATGAGCTGTTTTAATGCAAGGTCAAAAGTTGCAATATATAAAATTCTTTGTAAGCTCATATTAAGCAATCCTATCTACACCTGATGTTAGCAGTCTCTGATTTGAGACCAGCAGGTTTTAGGGATTGATATGGAAATTTATATTTATTTAAACAAGTAACTACCTTTTTAAGACTGGGCACTGGCTGTGGCATTAGTGAATCTAATATGCTATTCAGTGTTGCTCCTCAATGAGTGATTTAAAGGGGGAATTCACTGTTGGCACAATGGGCTTTTAATAAAACTCGGCTGTCTATGAAGAAGAAACTTGAAAATTCATTTGAGACTGTTGCTGTGGGGAAAAAAAGGGCTGTGGCCTTCACGTTTGCCAAAAACTTTAACACCCATAAATTAATGCTCTTTTGATTTTGGGACTACTCCTTTGTTGATCCGGCTGTCCATAGATGGGAATAAAAAAATGCTTCTACCTATAGTTTTGACAAAACGTATGTGTTTTGAGTCACCCAGCATACTTTGGCTGACAACTACATGGAGATGTCTGGGTGCAGATAATGCAGAGAAAGAGTACACATTGTTCATTTACATACTGCATCAATACAAACATTTAATTATCATTTAATTATGGCCAAAAGAGGATAATCTATTAAGGATAGGATATATAGGATAATAATGTCTTGTATATTTACAGTAGTTTGCTACCAGGTTTTTCAAAAATAACTCTTAAATATCTAACATTTAGTGCCATGGACCAAACTTTGACGAATCTTGTGCTAGTTCCATTGTATGAGACTGGTACAAAATTGTGCACCCTGAGTCCAAAAATAGTGTAAAAGCCAGCCCATCAGATTTAAATGGGTGATTTTAATCAGATAATGTTGTTTTTGCATGCAATATTAATCAGACATTTAGTGAACGGTCTGTGGGCAATGACTGCAACTAGGATCAGAGTGACTTCAAGAGTAACATCACTGCTCTTAGTGGCCTATTAAAACAACAAGCATGGTTTATGTGTATTCAGGGCACTGTCACATGAAGGCAGATGGTTTGGAAATCTTTCAAGATGCTTTGAGATGCTGACTGTATCCCTCGACTCGTTCTGTAGCTTCAGCGGTTCGAGGATTAAATCCAACAACAGCCCATGACATACTTGTTTATAAGCTTTGGATGGAGCAAGTTATTTCAGATGTGTTGAAGTTTGAATTCTTGTCAAGTGTTCAGCCAGTGGCAGCTAAAATTACACTTATGACGTTTTTTACAGATCAAAGTTGAATTATTCATTTATTGATGGGAATGGCTGAATACTGTTAGGAGAGTGCTACTTCAGACTGATTCTTTTTGGGATCAAACAGGTCTGACTGAATATTTGTTTGTGTGCCCGCAGGTCCGGGGCAGTGTGAACCTGACTGATGTCCTGTCTCCATGCCAACCAAAGTCTCAGGTCGAGGTAAACCTAAACCCTCCTGTCAGAAGGTGACCTTTCTGCCCCAATCTAAACTCTACAGGGTGAGTGACCAGAATTAATTCCCATACGCAGCACTGTTGAAAGCTAGTTTTTGTTCCCTTCTTTATTTTTAAGCTCAATTTTTCTTGCTGCAGTTTATTCCTCTGTCATGAAATTGCAGCTTAGGTGAGTCTTTGAAAATGATAGTGAAATGAATTTGATAGGGAGTAATGATTATGAAAATAACTCATTCTGACGCCTGTCTGAGTTCAGACAACTCACTTTGTGCTGATTATTACTGAAGGGCCATTAAAGGTCATATACGTTTGATTGAAGGAAATGTCAGTGAGGGAGACTTTTTGTTGAATAATTTAATCTTCATGTTCTTAAATCTTACTTTGATTCCCTCAGTGTTTCTTTCCATGTATTTTATGTAGCGAAAGACATTGTTTTGTAATATTTTCTCGTAATATATCCTCTTATCATAAAGTGGACAAAGTATTTTGACTACAAAAACTGAGCCAAAAAGGAAGGAATTTCACCAGTTTTTTTATATATGTAATGCAATGACATTTATTTTAAAGATAAAAAAACAAACTATTCATCCAACAAAATTAAAAAAACTAAAATTGTTATAAAATGTATTTAAATGGTAAAAAAGCTGAGAGAAAATGTATACACGACGGTTCAAGAGTTTGAGGCCAATAAGATGTTTTTGACACATTCAAATTATTATTATTATTAAAAATTAAAAAACAATTATTCTGTTGATTTGGTGCTTCAGAAACATTTTCTCTTATTATCAATGTTTAAAAACTGTTGTGCTGCTTATTATCTGTGGAAACGGATACATTCTGAATACTTTGATGAATAGAAAGTTAAAAGGAACAGCATTTATTTGAAATATAAATCTTCTGTGACATTATAAATGTCTTTACTATCACTTTTAATCAGTTTAATGAGTCCTTGGCAAATAAAAGCATTAATTTCTTTCAACAAAAAATTTATAAATGAATCAAAAAATCATACTGACCCCAAACTTTTGAACACTTGTGTGCATTTGTCGAAATGACTGAAGTGTGTAAACACTCTTTGGCACCGCTGTGCAATCTCTTTGTGTCCATACCTGGTTCTGAGGTGCTCAGGAAAAGCATACGGTAACTTTAATGTGTTTTGTGTTCAAATCCAAAGTAGTGATTGCTCTCCCTGTCAGAAAGGTCTCTCTCTCTGTCTCTCTGCGTGGTTGTGACCGTTAGCAGCTTGACACTGAAATCTTTGGAGCTTAATTATGGTCCTGTCACATCGGGAGAATGAAACGTTTCGATCTCTCACCGTAATCATTGAACATAAACATCAAAATCGACCCATCATTAACACCATCCGAGGTGCATGACTTTACATTGAGCGACATATGTGTGTGTTTGTGTGCTGGATGACAGTAATAGATGAGATTTATGATGGATATGGATCGCTCATCATTAAAAAAGCCTTTTGCCTCCTAAAAAGTAGAGTGGCTGTTTCAGGAATGCTATTTGTTCATACTTTGATAAATATCATCGCATTACAAGATTACCATATTCATGTACCGTGATATTTACTACTTCAAGGCACTTAAAAGAAATATTGCAGCAGTTCATTCCCATAATACTGTTAGCGAAGCTACTGAAGTTTAGTATGGTAGTGTCAGAGTATTGCAGCCTGGTATTTAAAGTGTGTTTCTTGGTCTTTTTTCAGTGTTGATGTGTGTTTGACTCACTCAGATAAATGGTATTTCCTTGATACACTCAAACAGTAAGTCAGGGATTTTTATAAACAGTCACTGAGAGCAAAACGTCTCGGGTTACTTATGTAACCATGGTTCCCTGAGGGGAACGAGACACTGCGTCCTCTAGCTTTTGTGCCATGCTGCGGACACAAGCTTCAGACGAAGAAGTGATGATGTGCGCTACCGGCGCCTATTTTGTACTAGTTGCGACGGTAGTGACGTCATGGCTGTCGCCGGCCAAACAAGTTGGTGTTTTTTCAATGTAGGCTTCAGACACGGGTCACGACGAGGGGTTCCCCATAGCGACCCCTAGAGGACGCAGTTCGAAGTTCCACGAAAGGGAACAGTGTCACGTCTTGCCATATTATCAGTTTTGTGTTGTCCTGCAAGTGGAGAATTAGACAGTATTGGACTGAAATTGTGTTGATTATTTGTGGTTGGTTAGTCAGGATAAAAGGACACCCATTGACTTTGTAGGCAGCTTCCTGTTTTTTCCCCGATCAGCTTTTAGATGTTTAGGCAACATGATTAGGGTATAAAATAATGGGACACTTTCTCAACATCTTTAATCCTCTTCTGGTGACCCGCTGAAAGATTCAGCCAGATTATTTTGCTCATCTTGATTAGATCCAAATCAGTTTTAGAGAGGCTGTGTTATGTACACATTTGATTTGGATGAATTGCTTATTTATGAATTTAAATGACCAGTGCAGTCTGTGTATTCACAGACAAATCAGGGGTCTGTCAAAATGCATTCAGTGTAGTGTCACTCAAAAAGAAATGACATACAAGTAATGCAAAATATTAATTTATTTATTTATAAGCAGTGCGGTCAGACCAGGCTTGTAGAAAATAGTCAGACTGGTGTCTGTGGTTTTAGGTAGGGCTGAGTGATGTATTTGAATATTTGGTACATGGTACAATAATAATACATTTAATACATTCACTGGTTTTAATATATCATTTTTAGCCATGAAGTTTCTGTGCCATTAGGCCAGTCTTTTGTGATTTCGGTGTTTTAAGAAATAGAATATATTAATAGCATTTCTGATTTAAATGTCAGGAACAAAAGATAGAGCTGGGCAATAAAGACTGTTAAAATATAAAATATAAAATCTATTAAAAACGCTTTTAAACTTTAAACATTAATAATAATAAGAAATATTTTTAAGAAATTAGAATGGCTGTATTTGCCACCACAGGAATATATCTATTTTAAGAATATATTAAAATAGAAAACAGATATATTAAATTGTAATAATGCTTCACATTATTACTATTTTTACTGTGTTTTTGATCAACTAAATACAGCCTTGGTGAGCATAAGAGACTTCTTTCGAAAACTACAGTGTAATTATACATACTACACACACACACAACACACACACAGTTGATTTTATTTTATTGATTAATTTGATTAAGTTTTGTTTTGTATCTGTATCATCCTGCACCTTCTATATCATGGAAGCTTTTCACTCAGCATTGATTTTGTTCCTGTAGAATACTGTTTGTTGCTACTTCAGCCTCTCTTTGAGTGTGTCTCTTCATCTTTGTCTTATCGTGTACATTGTCCATGCTGAGATATGGCCTGAACTTTCTGCAAAGTTGCCCCGTGTTTCAAACAGATAAGACTGACATGTATCAGGTTTTCTTAAGGCTTCAGCACAGAGGCTGATGTGAGTTGAGTCTCTTTTGCCTCCAGTTACTGACAGCACGGAGCGAAAAACCCCCAGCATTGCTTTTCATATCTGAAATGAAGCTCTGCCATTTGAGCACGTTCTCATTTGATATACACAGACCTCCCCCGCATCTGTCTGGATTCTCCAGGTGTGTGTGTGTGTGTGTGTGTGTGTGTTGGTTCATCCACTATCAGGGATTAATTAACACTCTGAAAGGGGAAGACTGGAGGGAGGTAGAGAGTGTCCAGTGCTGAGAGGAAAAGATGGATTGCGACGAGGGGAGAAGTGCAATAGAGCAAAAAAGAAAGAGGGCGGTGAGCCGTTGATGGGCGAATGAGTCTGCGATGGGATTTAATTGGCTGCTTGTACAGGCTGCAGGGTATTGTACCTGCCTGTCACACTAACACACCATAGAGTAAAGTTTAAGTGTGTGAGGCTGCATATATGTGAGTTTGAACATGCTATTGGCAAACATGACATATAGACCTTAACTTAAAGGAATAGTTCATTGAAAAATGAAAATTCATGTACTCTCCCTTATATTGTTCCAAACTTTTATGAATTTCTTTTTTCTGCATGTTAACAGTGTTATTATAATATTTTTATGTACTATTATGGTATTTGAATTAGCTGTTATTTTCAGTGTATTATTTTAATTTTAACGAAAACTTTTAGTAAATTTTTTAAGCTTTTCTCAATTTATTATTATTTTCTATTTAGCTTAAATTTTTTTTTATTTTGTTTTTATTGGTATTTTTATTGGAAATTATTGAAAGAGGGGCGTTTTAGTCGTTTTTGTACTGTTATTTCAGCATTTCTGATTTTTAAGTTTTTCATCCAGTATTTATTTTTTATTTCAGCTTTGTTTCAGTTTGTCATGCAGTTTTTATATTTTATTTCAGCTTTGTTTTAATTAACAAAAACAATTTTAATAGGTTCAGTTGACAGTAACAATCTGTGAAACAATACAAAGGAATTTTTTTTTTGGCGTGAACTATGCCTTTTAAAAGTCAACATTTGGGGCTTTCATAATTTATAATAATTGATAGTTTTCATAATTTAGAAACATGCATGTTTTAGTAGCTAATCATACTCTGTGTATGGTGTATTATTCATTGTCATTCTCTGTGTTACATTGTTCCCCTGACTAATTCCAATTTTTCTGAGAAGCTGAAAACTCATTTGACTCTCTGGTTGATTGGGTTCAGTCATAAGCAACTTTATCACAGAAAGGCATGCATAATGCCATAGTTTTGCCCCACTGGCACAAGGCCACGTTCACTATTGAACCTCATGCTTCTCAGCCAATCACATCACAGCATCCTCCTAAGCATGACAAGGAGAAAGTTTATCCCCAAAGACATTATGTTACGACAAACACACACACACACGCATGCTGCCCACCACTACCACGACTCCATAAAAAATGATCACCACTGTTGAAATGGGTAATTATGGAAAGAGGGGAATAATTTTGGTTTATTTATGTCAGTCACGCTTGCTACACTCTGTCTTTTGGCTTCGACAGGAACTGCAGCGCAGAGTGTATGCCAGGAATGCGTTTCTAACAGAGCGGGAATAATCACATTGAACTGCCGGCCTGCATGAGTAAATAGCA